CTTTTAAGAATATAAGAATTTGAAAAATAAGATAAAGGCATATTTCTGATTATTTTGATAAGTTATTTCGAGTGTTTTTTTAAAATAATTAGATGTGTTAGGCGAGAAAGAATGTTCAAAAAAATATAAAAGTCCGTGAAAATATTATAAAATTTGAAAATATACAAATAAAAAAAATCAGTTTTCATAAATGGTGAATTGGTAATAGAGGAGATATTATAGAATAGGATAAATTAACAATTTTTGTCTCCATAGTTTATTTGAGTTAACTAAAAAAATTCAATCCCTAAATTTTAACTTAAAGTAACTTAATCCCTGTGGTTTTTATTTGAAAACTCGTTAACTTAGTGCAACACAACCTTCATGGTTTTAACTTTTAAAATGTCGATCTTTATATTTTCAAAAATAAAACTATAAAAACTAGAGTTTTTTTATTGCTCAATAGGGGACTAATGTTTCACATACGTAAAACTATAGAAACTCAGTGACATTGAGTTAAAATTCAAAGACTGAGTTTGAACTAAGTTAAAATTATAAAGATTGTGTTGCATCAAGTTAATGTTTAAGGACGAGATTAGAACCAAATCAAAATTATAGAGATCAAATGGTTAATTTTTCCCTATAAAATTTGAAAATCGCTCATGTTTTAAACTTAAACAACACCCAATATTTCAGTCCAAAAAAAAAAAACACCCAATATTGAATGCAAAGTGAGAGGCTAATTATATAATCATTACTTGCCTTACTCACCATCTCTAAGGCTTTGTTTGGTATAAGGGATTTGAAGAGGAAGAGAGGGAAGAGGAAGGATTTTAATCATTTTTTCTTGTTTGACAACACATAAATTTTGGGAGAGCCTCCCCTCCTCAAACTCCCCTCTAAAATTAGAACGATTTGAAGGGAAAGGGTAATATTTTGCCATGTTGTGACCATTATACCCATATTTTGTCATGTGATGATTATTATCCCATATCTTAAATAAAATAAGGGCAAAATTATCCATGTTAAAATATTTTTCCCTCCCCTCTCCTCATGAATTAAGTTAGGTAATATTAAAACTCCTACCCTCCCCTCTCTATAAATCCAAATAAGGTAATATTAAAATCCTTTCACTCTTCTCCTCTCTCCTTCCCTCCATTAAAATCCCTTCCTTCCCTTTCCCTTCTCTTTCCATGAGATTTGCAATAACTTTCAAATCTGTTAACAGAATTTAGCGGAACAAATTGATTTCAGGAACAAGCTCTAAGGCTCTGCAATTCAAGAAACTTCCCATGTCTCTTTCAAATTATGCAGAATATGCCTCTGCAACTTCCTTATCATCACATGTAAAGTAAATTCTGCCTTTAATATAAGCACCAAAGTTCTTGTCAACTATGTCTTTAAGTACCCTTGAGAGCCAATAATGAAGATCAAAAGATGAGTTGAAGAAATGAATGATTGATTTGAGAAACAATCTGCCATGAAATGAACCACCTGATGTTACAGTTGCGCGGTATTACTTGTCCTCATCTGTAAGAGACTTGAAAAGTGTGTTGCAATAACTATTACCAATATGATCATTGAAGAACACTTGAAATTCACGGGGCTTTGAGCTATGTCCTTAATTTGAACTTTTTTAGTCGTCTTAGGTTAAATAAAAAATAAGACCAAATTATATATAAAACACAATTTGGGTCGTATCTCTTGAAGAGTTATTTATTAATTTTGAAGTTAACCAAGTGACAAAATCATTTTAAAAAAAAAGGTTTGAGAATGGATTTTTCTTTTATAAAACTGATTAAGAAAATAAAGAAATAAATCTAAAGTATTTTTTGTGGTATTTTTAATAAAAAGAGATAATAAAGAATGCAAATTTGGATTTTAGGGAATCAATTATGAGACTGCTTCTTGAAAACAGAATATAGCTATCATTACTTTATAAAAACACAAGAGTAAAAAAATGCATCAAGTTAAAAAGCAATTCCAAACACGATTTAGGTCAAATAAACTTAACACTCAAATATTCCAAACGTAAGATAATAATCAAATTATTAAGACACCTTTAAAAATTACTTGATGTGCATGAGTTAATAAAACATGTTTCCCTCTCAAAGAATGCTTATAGAGACACTCAATTGCAATACATCTTAATCATAAAATCTAACAACACCCTAGATAAAACAATCTTAATGAATGCAAAGGAATTATATATAAATTTAAATCCCAAATAATACAACTCAAATTAAATTACAAAAATCTAATTAACAGAAATTATAATACATAATCTTAGTCTCCAAATCATAAAAAAAAAATTCCTAACATATAAAAAATCCAATGAAGTCTAAGAGAAAATTAATTGGAAAACCAAATTCTCTCCTAGTTAAAACTCCAAACTCAAGCTACTCCTCCAACTCCAAGACACACGGTGGGACTAGCCTCTCATGACTCTAGCAACATCTACAACACGTCTGAAGTAGCGAGAATCGGTTATGAGTCCCACATTGGGGAATCTCACAAGTATTGTGGGGTTTATAAGTTCAAGGAGCCCTCCCTCCCAATAGGCTAGTCTTTTGGAATGGGCTTTCCCTTTGGGCTTATGCTCATCACATTGGTGCTTTCATTGAGAGTGGACCAACCGAAAAGGGCTACCTGCGGAGGGTTCTGACCGGTAAGAAGACCGAGTGAAGTGCCGTAGAGTGGAGCCGCCGGGGACGTCGACTCTCAAGAGGGGTGCTCTGTTATGAGTCCCACATTGGGGAATCTCACAAGTCTTGTGAGGTTTATAAGTTCAAGGGGCTCTCCCTCCCAATAGACTAGTCTTTTGGGATTGGACTCTCTCCTTGGGCTTATGCTCATCACATTGGTACTTTCATTGAGAGTCAGCCAACCGGAAAGGGCTACCTGCGGAGGGTTCTGACCGGTAAGAAGACCGAGTAAAATGCCGTAAAGTGGAGCCGCCGGGGACGTCGGCTCTCAAGAGGGGTGCTCTGTTATGAGTCCCACATTGGGGAATCTCACAAATATTGTGGGGTTTATAAGTTTAAGGGGCTCTCCCTCCCAATAGGCTAGTCTTTTGGAATGGGCTCTCCCTTTATGCTTATGCTCATCACATTGGTGCTTTCATTGAGAGTTGACCAACTGGAAAGAGCTACCTGCGGAGGGTTCTGACCGGTAAGAAAACCGAGTGAAGTGCCGTAGAGTGGAGCCGCCGGGGACGTCGGCTCTCGAGAGGGGTGGTCTGTTATGAGTCCCACATTGGGGAATCTCACAAGTCTTGTGAGGTTTATAAGTTCAAAGGGCTCTCCCTCCCAATAGGCTAGTCTTTTGGGATTGGGCTCTCTCTTTGAGCTTATGCTCATCACAGAATCCATGGAGGCCGTGAAGGAAAGATGGACGCGGAAAGTTGTTGCTCATCGCTGGATAAGTATGAAAATTGAATGAGTAGTGGCGGCGAGGGTGTAGCGTGTAGTCATGAGATGAATATGCGAGGTTCTGCGAATTAAATAGCGATTTATCAGTCCTCGAGACTCTAGTTCAAGAGTCACAACGTCCAGGATGTTATGAACAGTGAAAAATGTGTTACTAGGTCCAACTGAAGAACCCAAATCTGCTATGCTAAAAACATTGGAGGAATGCCGCAGAAGTATTCGTAGATCAAGCTCCTCGAAAATGGCTTTGACAGTACTTTTTATTATATCTGCTTTCTTACGCTGCCCAACAAGGTTTGAACGTGATTCACCTCAAACTCTAATGAACTAATTAAAGAGTTGGATTAAGAATGAGGAACCTGAATGGAGGAATTTTGAGCATACCACTCTATTTTTTATTATAAGTCACTTGTACTCTAAAAGTTTGTTTCAAAATATAAGTCACTTGTAATATAATTAATGATCCTTTTCCAATTTTACCCCTGTTAATTTAATAAAAAATTAATTAATTTAAATCTGAAATAATAGCTCCTCGAAATATGTCCATTTCCCTCTCAATCTCTTTTTTTCTCAACTTTTCATTTTCTATGCAATCTATCTCTTCCCTCTCTCTTTCTCTCCCCCTCAACTTTTGATAAAAGTAAATATAAAAAAAAATTAGTTAATATATTTCTTGATTTGTGAGTTTGGAATACAAGTGACTTATAATAAGAAATAGAGTAGTAGTCATATTCCTCCTCACCACCAGTGATTTACTCAGCTTTATAGGATTTGGTGCAACTTTTGCTCTCCGTCTTTGTGCTCTGTGTTTCTGTAAGCGTTTGTAATAAAGACGCACATGTGCGCACCATGTTTAAGTAGTATTCCAAACAATTGAGGAGTTTTCTTTGCACGTCCAAATATAAAATCTTAAAATAGTCTCTGAAATTTATAATTTTTTCTTAAACTATTCTTATTGATAGTGCATATACAGAAGGGTTTTCATCCATGAGAGTTGTTTTCAATATAAATGATAAAAGGGATATCTTGGAAAAACTAACACATTTTTTAATAGTCTTTCAGTCTTTAATATAAGACATAATTAACTAATTTAAGTAGATTAACAATGTTAGTTATATTAGTTAATATGATATGTTTTTTTTTTAAATATCCTAACTATTTTTCTTAATTCCCTCCCTCCCTTCCCTGCTTAATTATTATTGAGGGAATATCAATAGAGTTAATTTGAAAAAAAATTGATAACCATGTGAAATAAATCTTAAATATAAGACTAATATCAACTCTCTAATTAGCTCCTATATTAAGAACCGGATGAGTAAATAACTATCTTGACTTATTCTCTTAATCTTTGTAAATTACTGATTTAACTCCCCTGTTTAGGACAGGAGAGGGCATAACCCAAGGAATTGGAACATCACTTTTCACCAATTCCATACATATATGAACAAACTAATGCTGTAAGAAAATTAATATATTAATAGTATAGACTCTACCTTAACATTACATGCTTCTTTCTTGTCTTGTCTTCATCTCCAAGCAAATATTTCATAAGCCGGGATAAATTTATCAGTTCATGAAGAATTCATGTCATTGTACCTTCAAGCAGACTTTGAATTTTATTATGTCTCCATTTTCACGGAAGAAAAAAAGTTAGCCGGAGAAGGCATAAAACAGATCATAAATTCAGACACATATAACCAAGTTAAATCTGATGCACACATCATCAAACGATAGATGGATACAAGCACAAACTACATCAGCCAGCGTGAACAAAAAAAATACTAAAGAAAATTCCATTGTTTGGTACTAAAAAGAGTATCACAGAAAGTGATCTTATGCAATGTTTAACCAAATGAAATGGCTTATCTCATTTAGCAGAATGATTAATCGTCGTTGTTGAGCAAGAATCACTTTGCACACAATGCCATAGCTGAGGCCTCTCCAATAATCAAAATTCTCTGCAAGACCCCAAAAGGTATTTTGAAGATTTCATCAAAACTCATTGTATCAGTCATCATAAGAGGAGTGTGGAGCGGCTGTGCAACCAGGGTCAAATGGATCTTCAGAGCCACAGCAGTGCCAGTACTGAAAAACCTTACCAGAATCAGGAGTATCCATGGTGCCACCTTTATACACACTCTCAAACTTCCTCTTAGTTTCTCCTGAGGGAAAGAGGGGACCAGAAGATAAGTAAATCAAAGACAACTTACACCAGGACCAGGAAGTAATTTAAAAGAACAATAAATTAAGCGCACAGATTTTCATCAGTAAGAATCGGAAGAGACTCGCCAGAAGGCACATATTTTGTCAAGGAAAGGACTAAAAAAGATCTGCTTGTTTCAGTTTCAGAGTCACTGGCCAAACCCTTCACCACAATGGTAATATGGCTAGTGTTCCATCTAAAATCCCAACTATCTAAAATATCGTTTTTCAAATCCATTTTATGAGTTGCATTTACTGATGCATGAGTCTGATAAATGAACCTTCAAGCTTTGTTAGCAGACATAGATGTATGTTGTTGACCTACAGCATGTTCTTTGTATATCCTAGTTCTTCATTCTCCCATCCTATAGCATCAAGTTTAAATTAGTTCTATATCAAATGTATACAACCACATAGATGTCCTTGACAACACGATAGCAACTATAAGATAATCATATTCACAAGTTGCCTCGTGATTTTACCCAATATAAACACTTCTAGCTGTGATCAGGTATCAGTATCATTTACCTGAAGTCATGTGAGGAAGTTATTTTTAGCTTATCGAGGTCAATTATTCTTTGGCATTATCGGCCATTTCATGCCTGCATTTATTGAACATATCTGAAGTTGTTGGGACGAGAAGGACCCCACTTCTATACCCTATGAAGCATAGACAGTTACACAGACTTGACACAGCATGGAGATCACCATGATGTCAAACTTTAAAAATATATATATATATATATAGAACATGACACAACAAGCATATATGTGTGTGTATGTGTGTGTGTGAACTCTGTTGGTAATACACTTCTAGAGAAAAACAAAACGGGCTTATACTATATTCTAGCTATCTTGCACTATTCTTTTCTATAAAAAGAAAAAAAAAAAACTACCAAATCAAAATCAGAAATACACGTTATTGAATTTATTCATGCACAGCATCAGGAAAGAATTTATTCTTGGGCTCGACTACGTCTGACTCAAGACTTAGCCATATTGGCATGTATCCAGGCCTGTTCAGCAGTTGAAGCCGAAATAATCTTTTTCACTTAGGCACACACCACATCTGAAAATAGGTGTGTCTGAGATTAACGATTCATATCAAATGTGAGCTTCTGAATTCATGGCCAGATTAAACCTTACAAGGAGAAATAGAAACAGTGCTCACAACAGCCTAAAAATATTATTTCACGATTGAAATGGTCGGTTTGGTGGTAAATTACTACTGTACTCTTTTCGTTTTAACTACGAAAGACTGCAGTTCATTACATTGAAATGTTTGAAGTATCCCGTTATTATCTGAAATGAGTACCAATCACACATTGGAAAGATGAGATCTTTTTTTTTTTTTTTTTCCCCAAGTATCATGACTACAAAGGAAATTTTCGAAATATGGGTTAAGGCGTAAATCTGTTTCGACTCAGGAGTGCTGGACATGCAGAAGTTTAAATTCGTAGCAATATTACCTCTTAACATTAAAAAAATAATAATAATAATATTGATCATTAAAATAGTTACATTGACTATTCACATTTTTAACAGTAGGAACGAAATTACTGGTTGTTAAACTTCCATGACAAGTTTATTCCAAAAAAAACCTAATTTCCGAAGTAAATTTTCACCTTGACCCTTGAAATATTGGTACAAGTAATAGAAGCCCTGACCGCATTCAAGGAAACTTTTGAATATAGTTTCTCACGGATAAGAAATGAGTAAAATTAAAAGGGCAACAAATCATGCAATTATTCCAATGGCATATAAATCCCTCAGAACGCAAACCAATTTTTATAGTGTACTGCCAATGTTGTCCATAATAGTCATAATAGGAGGAAGAAGCAAAACAAAAACTGAAGCGAATTCAGATTACCTCCGAAATGGGCAGTGTGAAACCGACAAGCACGAGGGTGATTGAGTGCAGGGTCGTATTGACTTTTGCAATTCTTGCAAGTTCTGAGAGAACTGCTGGACTTTTCGTCGAAGCTTGAAGAGCATCGAATGTAAGGGAATTTCAGCAAGTCAATGTTGGCCTTCGATAAAGATGTGTTTTTGAACAATTGCGGAGCAAGAGGTTGTTTCAGATGATGCAGAGAAGGGTGAGAGATCGATTGGGAGAAAGAAAGAGCCATCGGCTTGAAAATTTTGTTCAACGAATCCAAAGTGGAATAACGAGTCGCGCGAGCTGCTTCCATATTTTGCATCTTGCTTCATGTTTACCTGACTCGTCAGGTTCAGCTGTGGATAGAGGGAAAAGGGAAATTGCATTTACCCTGATGAAAACACACATTTGTTTGGTTTCAAAAATACAATAAATCATGAAATATCGGCACTTTGGCCTTTGGGGCAGCGTTGGATCAGGATTTGGCTCAGGCTTCGTCCCGAATCATGATTAAAGAAAATTTATCTCACATATTTCGTAATAAATCATTATGCGAAAAAAAATTACTACCTCTGATACTTAATCTAAAAACTAGTTGATTTATTTGAGTATATTAAATAAAATAGTTAAATTAATTATTTGTAATAAATAAGTATAGATACCCTTGCTAATCATATTCTCTTCTGGTCTTATTTACATGGTAGAAAGAAAAGACATTTTTTAGTCCTATTTATAGGGCATTGAGAGAAATTTTTTTATGGATGTACAATTTTATCCTTCGATTATTATTGTGTTAACTTTGTTTACATGAAGTATAATATATATTAAATAGGAATAAAGTTGAAAAGTTATTAAATTTTAAATAAGAGTTAATGAAGTTTAAGATTTTTCTATCTATGTGAAACACGTTGAAAGTGAATTATAAATAAGACGAAAAGAGTATATTAGAAAAAACTATCATTTGATGAAAAACTTAATATATACAACTATTACAAGACTATCTTGAAAAAAAATGAATAAATATGATAGACAAAGTGAATTGGGATATTATATTTAAGATTAAATTAAATGATTAGTTCTTATATGAGGTACTATTAAAGCAAATATGAAAAATTATACTACCTTCAGTTCTTAATATAAGACCTTGTTTGAGTTTTATTTTGATCCTAAATATAAAACCCCAATCCATTTTGTTTTTCATATTTATATATTCCTTTTTAAGATAGTCCTTCTAATAATGGTAGTTCTAACCAATACACTTAACTAGTGAGGATACTTTAGGAATGACAGCGCCTATTTATGATAAATAACCAACTTAACTTATTTTCTTAATATACTCAAATTAGTCAACTAACTCTTATATTTAGAACCAGAGCCCAAAGGCAATATAAGCTAGTTGGGAAGTTATTTTGCTGTTAACTTGTAACTTTGTGGGCTTTAATATCATTTTGTTTTATCTAACAAAAAGTAATTTTCATATTAATAATCAGAAGAATATATTACCGTAGTGTGCAAAAAATATACTACCACTAGACCTATTTACAAAATGATAAAAATTTTTGTCACGCCTACATTCAATTTTTATCCTTTTTGAATCTTTCTATATATTGTTTTTTTTGGTACTAAGGAGGGCTAAGGCCCGAAATGGAAAACTAGACTAGAGAGTGAGATTAAATCCCATACAATCATTAAGAAGCATAGCCCTTAAATTGACTGGGCATGAATTTAAGTAGGTGGATCTTGAAATTCCTTGCTTAGCTAATGTATCAGCTAGCATATTCTGTTGTCTATCAATGTAGAGACCTTAAACCTCCCAATCGTATGCAAGGAGGGTTTGGATACAAAAGTAGGTAAGGCTGCTGGTACTCGTAAGTTGCTTGTTGTGAATCATTTGTATTAAGGACAATGAGTCTGATTCTAAAATGACTTTCTTGAAGCCAAAATCCCATGATGACTGAAGACCTTTCAACATTGTCGATTCCTCTGCTTTAAAGACACTGCAACTCCCAAGAGTTCTAGTGAATCCCACAATCTATTGACCATTGTGGTCTCTAATGACTCCACCACATCCTGCCTTGTTTATGCTTTGAGAGACAGCTCCATCAACATTCAATTTAACCCATCCAAGTGGAGGTGAATTCCACATTAAGGGAGCACATGGTGCGAGAGAAAACTGAAGGTCCTCTGCATTATTATGTTGAACTAAATTCTTCCAATTTCTTAGAACAACAACAGCAGGGTAAATTGGCTTTTGGAAGTTAGCATCATGAAGAAAACAGTTTCTCCAAATAGATACCGAACAGACACACCCCATATAAGATTCTAGCTAGGACACTCATGATTGCTAGCTCTTTTTTGAGGTTCAATGTAATCAAGTCTCATTGGAAGGCAGCATAAGATTTAGAATAATGAATCGGAGATAAAATACACATCCATAATTTTTTAGCATATGAGCAATCCCTAAGAATATGCATAGTAGTTCCAACACCATCATCACAATAGGGGCAGGTAGATGGAGCTTGGGACCACTTACTTCTCCACTCATTAGCGGGTAATTGATGGGCCCAATAGGTATTGGGACAGGAAATACAAGCGAAGGACTCAGGGCCTCAAGCCCAACATTATTCAAGGTGAGCTATGTAAGGAGGGCAAAACTGGGAATGCAAACGGTAAACAAGGGGTAACGAACTTCTGACAGTGTCAGGTAGTGGGAGGTGTTTAGAGGGGGGAGGGAGTGAGTGGCGAGGTAGACAATTTTGAGCGTTAGACAGGAGAGGGGATCTGTTCTCTCGAACAACAAATCATGGAGAGTGTTCTTCTTCATTGATAGTTATTTCCAGTAAAAGTTCCTAGTATCTAACCCGTTTCATCATCTATTGGTGAGTGTATTCTCTCATTTTCAATCAGTAAAGAGGATACTCAGCATTGTTTATCAGTTCATTTAGTTTGGGTTTACTAGCTCTATCATCTTGGTATCAGAGCGAGCATGGCAAGGACCAGAATGGAGAGTAGGGTGGAGCAGTTGGAAAAAGTAGTCGAAGAAATGCAGCGAAAACAAGCAGAGACGACAGAGCAACTTACCGGGGTTAGCACAATGGTGAACCTTATCCATCAGCAATTGAATGAGTTCCGTTCTGCGTTCAATGTGGCCAGCCCATTGAATAATCCAGAGAGCCCACCGAGTCAGGCATGCAATGCGATAAGGGGAGACATGGACGCAGGACAGGAGGGTCAGGAGAGAGCCACACGAGAGGAGATGGGACAGAGTGACATGAACAAGCACCGAAAACTCAAGTTGCCCATTTTCTCAGGAGAGGACCCGCTCGGTTGGAATTTTAGAGTGGAAAGATATTTCGTAGTGAATGGTTTGAGTGAGGCAGAAAAGCTTAATGTCGCGGTGGTAAGTTTGGAAGGCAAAGCAATTACATGGTACCAATGGCTTGAGTCATGCTGTGCAATCAAGTCGTGGAAGGAATTTAAGAAGGAAGTGACAGACCGATTCCATTGTAAACAAACCGGGGACGAGTACGAGCAGCTGTTTACCCTCAGACAAGAAGGTTCTGTAGCAGATTACTGAGAGCAATTCAAGCTGCTATCGGCACCATTGAGGATGTACGTGATGAGATTTTGATGGGCGCATTTATGAATGGATTGAAGTAAGAAATTTGCTGCGATGTCAAGCTGATGCACCTGCAAACCTTAAAACAAGCTATGGACTATGCAGCGCAAGTTGAAGGGAGAAACCGTGTGAGGGAGAAATTGGAAGGGAAGAAGGGCAGGACAACAAGGCTAGCAACAGGAAGCAGATGGAGTGACTTCAAACCAAACTTTCTGAAACTCACAGTTTGGATTCATTCAAGAACGTCAGTTTGCCAGCCCAACCAGGGAGTCAGGAGGGAAGAAGAAGAACCGAAGGCAATGACCCCTCGAGCTCCATCGTCGGTGTCGTCGTCTGCGAGTAACAAGGGAAATGGAGCAAGCCGCAAGAGGCTATCAAAGGCCGAAATCAATAAGAGGAGGGAGTTGGGCCTATGTTTCAAATGTGAGGAAAATATGGGCCAACCACAAGTGTAAAAACAAACCCTCTAACTGATAGTTCTGGATGAGGAGGAGGACAGGCTTGGAGAAGATGAGTTGGGCGCCCAGAATACCGAAGGGGGTCCAAAGGAGCGAGACTTAGTGTCCCTGGAGTTGTCGATGGCCACAGCAGTGGGGGTAACCGGGAAGCGAACATTGAAGATGAAAGGGAAGATGATGGGTAGGGAAGTGCTGGTGCTCATTGATTGCGGTACCACGCATAACTTCATCTCCCATTCCTTGGTGGCAGCACTGGGTATCACAACAGAGAGGGTGAAGGAGTACATAGTAACAGTAGGGGACGGACGGCGAACGATATCTGACTTGAAGTGCCCAGAAGTGACCTTGGAGATACAAGGCCTGAAGATCAAACAGCCTTTCTACCCATTCAATCTGAGCAATGTGGACCTCGTTTTGGGGGTCGAATGGCTGGAGTCATTGGGCAAAA